ATTGGCTGAGATCCCCATCCGGGCGTGGGTTAATTGTTTCAGTAATCATTAAGTATAATGCATCTAATTACGAGCGAGCGAGCGCAGCGAGCGAAGTGAGTCTTTTCAATATAACGGAAAAATCTCAGTATGAGCGGCCCGGCCCGGCCCGGCCCGGCCCGGCCTGTAACGCTTTTGAGAGGCTTATATCTCAGCAACCGCTGGACCGATTGGCCTGCGGTCTTTTTTGTTGGGTAGCCCCATCCCTTCTACCCCGTAATTGACTACTTTTGATACATCTCAGTGACCGTCGTGGCACGTGCCACGTGAAAAGTCAAGGGTGTTCAAGCTGTTTTGCAAAAGTAGTGATTTTGAGAGGCTCATATCTCAGCAGCCGCTTGGGCGATTGACTTGCGGTAATTTTTGTAGTGTAGCAGCATCCCTTCTACCCAAAATAGGATACTCTCGATGCATGTGGGTCACCCCCAGTGCACGTGCAAAATACAACAATAAGAGGTGCCAAATTTGTTCCCATTTCAGTAACTCGGTAATTACTGGGGCGATTTCGCTGAAACTTGGCATACAGGTAGGCACCCACCAGGCAATGCATTCCCATGTGTTGCAGTTAGGGTGCTACTGCACGTGCGCACGTGCAGGGGGCGTTTCCAGATCTCGAGAACGGCTGGGCCGATTGCGCTCAAATTTGGTACACGGTTGGGGACCAGTTAGTAGGGTGCCGTGCAAAAGTCATTTTGGACCCCGTTTGCACGTGCGCACGTGCAGAATGCCGCTTCCAGATCTCAGGAACGGCTGGGCCGATTGCGTTCAAATTTGGCACACCGCTAGCGACCGGTTAGAAGCGTGCTTTGCGCAAGCCCGTTGGAAGCACCCTCTCGCCCTTCCGCACGTGCTGGGCTCACTATCTCGCTCGCTCGTTCGTCGCCCAAAAGGCGTTTTACTGGTTAGTAGGTATAGGTAGGTTACATAAGACGCCTCCAAATGCCGGTAAAATTGATTCCAGCTCTAATTGGACATCATTTGATCGCTACGTAATGTGTGTGATGAATGCTGCGGGCTTAGAATTCAATATACCTTTTTCAGCATATAGTGTAGGTACGAACGCATTGTGGTATGTAGGAACATCAAACAAGTACTTAAACCGCGCATTTCAATGGGCATGCAACAATGTTGCTGAATATCGTGTTAAAGATTGGGGGATTTCTAAATTGAGGCAGTGTGCAGTCCCGACCCACAGCTGCTATTAATAGTGCGCTGAACTTCTGATCTGCTGTTGGGCTGCAGTGTGTAAAACCTGTGATTCGCCGCTGATCTGCTGAGTGCTGCACCGGATGGGCTGACTCCGCACTGATCCCCGAGCCGGTATATATCCGTCCGTTCGATCGTGTCCGTGCGCTCGGAAACCGCACCCCTCGCCGCGCGCGCCAGAGCGCCATCAGCTCACAGCTGGGTGTCCGGTGTGGTTCGGACCCGCGCAGAGATGTGTGGAGTTGAGGGAGGCTCTTGCGGGACATGGAGACTGCCAGCGGCGTGAAATGTGATTATGTGCCACCAAGACATACTTGTGTATGTTTTTTATTACTTTCGTGCTATTTATTTCCTGACTTTTGATTCAGGTATCTACGGCGATAAAATTTGTGCTTATAAGGGACTCAGCATTGAGCAAATTACGTAACACAAAATAGTTAATAGTGGTCATGTTTCATCAAGGTACTTAGTGGATTGGCTTAGGCTAGAATATGAAACGACTATAACTACAGTGCAGCAGGCTTGCCATCCTTTAATTCGCCTATGGTTTCAGGATTCACCCGAGAGCTCTTAGACCGAATCTGCGGTCACATGAGGCCATCTGGCTGAGATTATCTCTGTAAGGAGCCTAAAATTGACCTTGAGACAGACACTGACCCCGTTTAGATGAGCGGCTTAATCCTCTCTGGGAACTGGCGTTCGCTGACGTTGACCGATCGCGCAAACGTTACTGCGCTTATAAGAGCGGGATATAACTTTCTGATTCTTAAGAAATAAATAAATGTGTTTTAGTGTTCAGATGAAAACTGCAATATGGAAAAGGTATGAGACATTGGCTAGCCTTGCCGTTGGTGCAGGGGCGTAGGCAGGGGGGGGGGCCACTGGGCCATGGATCCCCCCTTGGGCGCCGAAGGCGCCCTCCAATCGCAAATGCAATTGTGATATAATCGAATCGAAAAACAATCGCGACTGGAGGGCGCCCTCCAATCGCGAATGTGTTTACAGGGAAAATACGGATGGAGGGCGCCCTCGGAGGACGCCCATTCCAAATACGCCCTCCAAATACGGTTGGAGGGCTCCCTCGGGCGCCCTCCAACCACATTTGTAGGCTGTAGCTCTCTAAGCGTAACGGTGGTCGCCTATGTAAGCCGCTGTCCTGTAAATAAGCGCCCTCTCACCCGAAGGCGCCCTCCTGTAGGTTGCCACCCTGCTACACATTGCCGCCCTTCTGCTGATCGGCGTCCTCATAATTATTGGCGCTCTCCTACCTATTGCGCCCTCATGTGAAATTTTGAAGGCCGCCTTTCTCCCTTTTGGCACCCTCTTGTTCAGTGCCGCCCTCCTACCTATTGGTTCCCTAGTCCTTCCTGTTGAATGTTAATCGGGGCCCTTCTCCTATTGGCGCCCTCGTGTAGATCGCCGCCCTCCTAACCACTGGCACCCTCCTGTTGATCACCGCCCTCCTATCCACTGGCACCTTCCTGTTGACCAGCGCCCTCCGCACAGACGCCCTCCTGTTCGTGTCATCCTCTTGAGCAAAGGCGCCCTCCTCACCATTGCCACCCCCATTTTAATCGTCACCCTTCCGCTCATTGGCGACTTCCAGTTGATGACCGCCCTCCCACCTATTGGCGACCTCTTGTTGATCGCCACCCTCCTATTGGTGCTCTCCTGTTCCTCGCCACCCTCTTACCTGGTGGCGCCCTCCTGTTGATTGTTGATCGGCGCCCTCCTACCTATTGGTGCCCTCCTGTTGATCGCTGCCCTTCTATCCATTCCATTGGCGCCCTCCTGCTGCTCGCCAACTTCCTACCTATCGGTGCCCTACTGTCGAAACTCGGGATGTTGATCGGGGCTCTTCTACCTATTAGTGCCCTCCTGTGGATCGCAGCCCTTCTACCTATTGGCAACATCCGTTGATCGCTGCCCTCCTATCATTTATTTACTCCTTTGGCATGTTTTTCAACTTAGTCGTTCTATTGCACATAGTTGATGTCTTGCCTGTGAAAACTGCCACAAATGAACGTGCATTCAGCACAATGAATGAAGTATCTATACCTACCAAAACTATCTACGCTCTACGATGCATAAAACACGTCTTTGGTCTTAACGGATTGATCCTACTTTACGTGCATCATGGCATCTATATGGATTACGATTAAGTAGTGTCAACAGGTTCGGGCGCAACAGCAGGCATCTGAAGTTTCGGTGATTGAAACGCGTATTTGGAATTTCCGACCTCGACGAGCGTCTGTGGTAGAAAACCACCACTTTGGTAGGGGAAACTACTGCTGTCTGCTACCGTTTGCACTGCATGTCTCGCTGTAGTTGCGACCGATTGCGACATCTATGCTTAGCGATATACGTACTTTATAATTTACGTACTTTTTCGATGCGTATTTTCTTCCTTGACGTAGGTACTTTTGTCTAGGTATACGTACTTTGTACTGTACGTACCTACCTCTGCGATACCTACGCCTACTTCCGTCCTTGACGTACTTATTCCATACGTACTTTATACTCGACGTACTTTTGAAACTGGTTATGTGGGTACACTATGCATCTGTGAGAAGGCTATGAAGGCTGGTCTGAGGTAATTTGGATGATGTTTACGCATCTCGCGCTCCGGTATCAATCCGATACGGTGATCTGGTGCGTAGATATGCCACCGCCAATAAACTTTTATACATCGACACCCATGAGCCAAGCTTTCTGTACAGTTTGTGTGGCAGCGGCCCGACCAAACCTTAGGTATTTTTTACACCTTCAAATTTGGTAAAAGAGCGAGAGGAGCTTTGAACAGTGATCGTATAAAAGGCGTGCCTAAAAAGCGGAGGAAAAGGTTGTTTTCAAAAATTTCGCGCGCCTTCGGTGTAGGATATTGAAGTCTATGCTATCGCTGTTTGACGGACCTGCAGTGACAAAGTCAATGTGCTCGCTATTTGACGCAGGGTATATTGAGTGAAGGGTAGGACGAACTTTGGTAGGAATTTCTAGTATAACTACTAGAAAACCTACTATATGTGGTCGGAACTAGCAAAAAGTTAGTTCAAACTAGAATATGGTAGCGCTTATGGTCGGCAGTCGTGACGCGCACGTGACATTCATTTCTTAAATTTCTTAAATAACAGGTTTTAGGGGCCGATTAGTGGGCAGATACATTCAATTAGCTATTAATAATTGATTATGCAAACATTCAAGAATCTACATCATTCAATTCTAGCCAAAATCACGCGGCGCTCCCAAGATTCGAACTCACGACCCTCGGATCCGTAGCCCGATACGCTACCGACTGCGCTACCGAGGACCGCGCGCCGACGATCGGAGAGGCGGATCGCGGGTGCTGGCGTGCAGAGAAATCTTTACCCTGTACGCCGTAGAAGATCGGCTGGGTTTCGTGAAAAATGGTAGAAGAATTGTCGAAAGAAAATTCATCGATCTATCATTTGAGACTAAGAACCATTGATTCCTTCAAAGATTGACCGAGATATCGCTCGCCGAAAACAGGCCATTTAACATGTAAACCCTATGGGCTGGTAGGAAATGTACGCCGTGGAGCAGCAGTGCTACCAACTAACTTCGGCGGGGGCCGATTTGACGCGCGCAGAAGTCTCTTGCACGAGCCACGTGCCGCTCGACTGTAAATGCCTAAAAACCAGTTTGCTGAATAAACATAAAGAGTTAGCAGGGCCAAGAATACAACAATATTGGCGACGAGGTAAATTTAATTTTGTAATGCCCACTTTGACTTGCTGAGTAACGTAAAGCCCACGCCCGCATAAAGCCGCGCAAGACATGGCTGGCCCTGCGCTGGAATTGCCGCAGTTTGATGTAACAAGGCCCGATGAGTGGCCAAGATGGCTTCGCAGACTCGAAAATATGTGCTTGGCCATGGGAGTTGAAGCCCCAGCGCGCAAAAAGGCCTATCTCCTACATTTTGCAGGCCCTGCAGTTTTTGATCTGCATGAAACGCTGCCAGCCCCAGCTACCGCTGATGAGACGCCGCCACTGGATGAATATCAGCTTGCTTGCAAGCAGCTGAGTGCCTATTTTGTGCCCCAGAAGAACATCGATTATGAGTGTGATGTTTTTCGTCAAACTCTCCAGATGGAAGGTGAGTCAATTGATGCTTTCGTAGCCCGATTGCGTCAGCGGGCTAGCACTTGTGAATTTGCGGATTCAGCCAGGGAAATCAGGCAACAGCTGATTGCGGGAGTCAGGGACCCCAGGGTAAGGGAGAAAGCCCTGCAGCAGAGAATGACCCTGGAAAACTTGCATTCGTTTGCAAGGGGCCTGGAACAGGCAAGAGCACAGGCCCGTGCCATTGAGGCACACCATCAAAGCCGGTTCACCAGTCTGCCTCCTGTAAAAGCACAGAACAAGGTCGAAAGCAAAAGAAATCTCACTGGCAAGCCCCGTGTCCAAGAGACAAAAGAAAGATGTTCAAGATGTCACAGCCCAAAACATCAGCACTGGGAATGTCCATTCAAGAACGAGACCTGCTACCAATGTGGTCGGCGGGGCCACACAAAGGTGGCCTGTCGTAACAAGGAGCCACAGGCTACGCCAAGGAAAAATCCCAGTCATGGTCGGCATGGCAAAGTCAAATGCATGAGCCAACAACAGGAAGTGAGTCAAACTCAGCAAGACAGCCCAACTGATGAGTACGTCATGCAAATCCGCCTGCCTGTGAACAAGACAGAAGTCAGAGAAAATGAACCACTTGTCACAGCAGTGAACATGGACGACAGAACAGTCCAGATGGAAGTGGACACAGGAGCAGCAGTCACAGTGATGTCAGAACAGCTGTTCCACAAGCTGTGGCCAACAAGAAAACTCGACAAGTCCAGCCAACGACTGAAGACCTTCACTGGAGAGCCAATTCCAGTTGTTGGTCAAGTCGATGTGAAGGTGCTCGCTCAAGATGAAGTGGTGCACCTGCCACTCCTGGTAGTGGGAGGTGAAGGCAAGCCCCTGCTAGGTCGCAACTGGCTGTCAAAGGTGCGACTGAACTGGCAGGCCATCTTCCAGGTGAAAGCCTCACTGGAAGAAAAAGCACAAGAGCTCCTGAGAAAGTTCCCCAACCTGACCAAAGAAGAGTTGGGAAAAGCCAACACAGAAGCACACCTGGAAATCAACCCAGATGTAAAGCCAGTGTTCTGTAAACCAAGATCGGTGCCTCTGGCCCTGCGTCCTCTCGTCGAGAAGGAACTGGATCGTCAAATCGAAGCAGGAATACTGAAGCCCTGCAAATCTGCACAGTGGGCGGCACCACTGGTAACCATCATGAAACCAGATGGCAAATCTGTTCGCCTGTGTGGAAGCTACAACCTCACAGTAAACCGAGCAAGCCAACTGGAGCAGTATCCATTGCCCAAAGTGGATGAGCTCCTGACACATCTGGCTGGAGGTGAAAAGTTTTCAGTGATTGATCTGGAACAAGCCTACCTACAGGTTCCGCTGTCTGAAGCCAGCCAGAAATACACCACAGTCAACACACATAAAGGACTTTTCACGGCTACCAGACTGGTGTATGGGATCAGCAGCGGCCCTGCTATCTTTCAGCGCCACATTGAAACACTACTGGCTGGTATTCCCAACACCACTGTGTTTCTGGATGACATTTGCGTCACAGGCAAAGATGATGCCACACACCTTGCAAACTTGGAAGAGGTGCTCAAAAGGCTTGAGCAGGAAAACCTTCGAATCAACCCGAAGAAGTGCCGGTGGGCGCTGCCGGAGGTATCCTACCTCGGCCTGCGCATCAACAAAAACGGCCTGCAGCCGTCAGACCAAAAAGTGGCAGCCGTGAGAGATGCACCAAGTCCAGGGAACGTCGGACAACTGAGGACGTACCTTGGCATGCTGAACCACTTCAGTCGCTTCTGCCCGAAGCTAAGTGGTGTGGCAGCACCGTTGTACGCTCTCTTGAAGAAGGACGTCGTGTGGCGATGGGGTACCCAAGAAGAAGCCGCTTTCAAGGCGACCAAAGCTCTTCTCTGTGAAGCCCCCTGTCTGGCTCACTTTGATGCAAGTGCACCCGTCGTCGTATCAGCAGATGCAAGCTCGTACGGCCTGGGAGCCGTGCTATCCCAGGGTGATCAACCAGTCGCCTACGCGTCCCGCACACTAAACCAAGCCGAGAAAAACTACAGTCAGATTGATCGCGAAGGCCTGGCCCTGGTCTTTGCTGTCAAACGCTTCCACAGCTTCCTATACGGAAGGCCCTTCATGCTAAGGACCGATCACAAGCCCCTCCTGGGACTCCTCAGCAAGAACAAAAACCTTCCAGATGCCGTCCCACCTCGGATGGTGAGATGGAAAGTTACCCTGGATGCCTACCAGTATCACCTGGTACACACGCCTGGGAATGCTGGTCAACACGCAGCAGCAGATGCTCTCAGCCGCCTACCACAGTCCGAGATGGTGGCTCAGTCGGCAGTGACCCCGCTCATGGAAGTCGTCAAGATGCTGGAAGCCGACGACGCATTGGTAACTGTCGATGCTGTCCGAGAGTGGACCCGAAGAGACCCAGTGCTCTCGGAAGTTCTGCACTACACTCGACATGGATGGCCCAAGTCGGCAGAAGTGTCACCAGCGCTTCTACCGTACCACACTCGCCAAACAGAGCTGAGTGTCCACAATGGGTGCCTGCTTTGGGGATGTCGGGTGGTCGTTCCGCCATCCTGTCGACAGAGCACCCTTCGACTGCTTCATGCAGGGCATCCTGGTATCTGCACCATGAAACGCCGAGCCCGCAGTCAGATCTGGTGGCCTGGAATGGATTCTGACATCTCAGAGCTCACCAAAGTCTGTGATGCATGTCAGATGCATCAAACCGCCGCACCAAAAGTGCCGTCTCGACCATGGAAGTATCCCGATGCTCCGTGGCAAAGAGTTCATGTCGATTACGCCGGACCTGTTGACGGGAAGATGCTCCTGATCGTGATCGACGCTCACAGCAAGTGGCCTGACGTCTGGATCACCAGCAACGTCAGCACGAGAACGACAATTGATCATCTTCGAATGACGTTCGCCACGCATGGACTTCCAGAAGTCATCGTAAGCGACAACGGTGGCTGCTTTACCAGCAAGGAGTTCAGCGAGTTCACCAGCAGCAACGGTATCCGCCACGTCTTCACCCCTCCGCTGCATCCTGCCTCTAATGGACAAGCGGAAAACATGGTGAAACTGGTGAAGACCGGAATCAAGAAGCAAAGCCCAGCTCCTCTGCACACGAAGCTCCAGAGGTGGCTGTTCCAGTACCGCAACACGCCACATACCAGTACGGGGAAGTCACCGGCGGAAATGCTGTTTCGCCGCGCACCCAGAACCCATCTCACGCTGCTCCACCCGTCGGAAGAGCGGAGGAACTACGACAGTTCAGCTGGTGGTGCTGCTAGCCGAGCGTTCCGCACAGGTGATGCCGTTTACATCACAGAAGTGACGGACTCAGCCTACAAGTGGCTACCAGGCACGGTTCTGGATGTATGTGGACCGTCCTGCAGAGTCCTCCTCCAAGATGGCCGGCAATTCCGCCGCCATTTGGACCACATTCGTGCTCGGTACACGTCTGGTGAGAACGGGCTGCACCAGGATTGAACCTCAAGTGACCTGCCTCGGCATCCGTTGGTGACCGCACCCCGCCGCACGGTGACGCCACCAACAGTCATCGGAGGGTGGCCGGAGTCGCCGCCAGCAGTCGGCCTCCCCAGTCGTTACGGCTGCACCTGCGGAAGTTTCTCTTCCCGCGCCCAACTCGGACGCGGCGCCAGCGGCTGAGGTGCAGGATCCGGTGACACCTACTCAACGATCGCGAGCCGGAAAGCCCGCGATGCTACCGCCGGGAGAGACGAGTGTGCGAGCTGGAAAGCCCGCGATGCCGCCACCGGGAGAGACGAGCGTTCGTCCAGTGCGCAGTCGGCGTCCGCCTGACCGCTTGAACCTGTGAGAAGTGACGAGCTCTCGCCCAGGCAAAGTCGGCGTCTGCCGAACCGTTTAAACTTGTAAGAGTTTGTGTTCAAGTGTACTGTGTAAGCGCCGTTGGATGCTCATTGTCATGGTGAGCTCAGTTTGCCCTTGCAGTTTTAGCCTGTCTATCTAGGAGGGAGGAGTGTAGGATATTGAAGTCTATGCTATCGCTGTTTGACGGACCTGCAGTGACAAAGTCAATGTGCTCGCTATTTGACGCGCGCAGAAGTCTCTTGCACGAGCCACGTGCCGCTCGACTGTAAATGCCTAAAAACCAGTTTGCTGAATAAACATAAAGAGTTAGCAGGGCCAAGAATACAACATTCGGCGCAGCATTTCAAGAACACTTGACCTTTTGTGACCTGAAGTATAAAGAATACACACGATGCAAAATCAATGCAGCACGACCTATACGAGGTTACGCAAAAAAAAAACTGGTGGCATGGTAAAAAGCGCCTCCCAACCCCCCAACCCCCACTGAGCGATTTTTTATCTCGCGACCGTATGGCGCCCTCCTTGGGTGAGGTGGCGCCCTCCAAACCCTTGGCCCCCCTTCGCGATTTTCTAAATACGCCGCTGCGTTGGTGTCACAGTTCGCTGACGCCATCCAAAAATGCCTGCCTTTATGAAATGTCAGATGGATGATAACAACGAATTAACGCCAAGGGTTTCCTTGAGTGTCGTTTGATAACATCGCTGACGTTATGGTTATAAATGGCTTGTTAGGTTATATTGGTTCATTTCTTTTCTTACGAAAATGCAGTAGAATTCGCTTAATAAATCCTCGGATAATAAATCCAGCCGCTTATTCTGGCCACTTGAGCTGTTCACGGATTTCTCTATAGAAGCATAACTGACTTCGGCTAATAAAGCTACCGCACAAATCCAAAAGGCCGTGTCACCAAGGTGGATTTATTAAGCGGATTCTACTGTAGCTACTGTCAAGTGTTATATAGCCGGCGCGCGGTGGCCCTGCACCGATCACTGATGATGATCCGCTGCTGGCGCCGTCACCAGCCTGTGTCCGCTGCGCGCGGTGGCCCCGCACCGATCCAATGTCCCCGCACGTGTCTCTGGTCGCCGGACTTCCCGACCTTGGTGGCGGCTAATGGTCGCCGCAGCCCCGGTCGGTGCAGCGAATTA